TGATTGTAAATAATACACTAATGAAAAATTTTTGAATAATCACGGCAAAGACTGCTAACTATTGGTCAAATTTTATTTCCTCTTCTTCTTTGCCATAAGCTAGACTACATTTCCCAGAATTCCTTGCAGTTACTGTGGCCATATGACTAGTTCTGGGCAATGGAATATGAGCAGAATGATAACTGTCATTTGGGGAACAAGGCTTATAAGAAGCTATGTCTTCTTCCTGCACTCATCCCACCTCACTTGGATGCAAAAAACCTGGGGAATGGCAGAGCAGAACTGCCATATGGAAGGTACCTGGGTCCCTGATTTATAATGTGGAGGAAAGTAACCTCACCCAGAAGAATCCCAGTTGGGATTTTACATGAGGAAGAAATTAAGTTCTAAAATGTGAAGCTGCTAAAATTTGTGGGAATATTTGTCACAGCAGTTAATGTGTCTCCAATGCTGAAATTGATACATATACTTGAATGTATTCTTGACCTTGCAGAATTCTTACAAATGCACTCCTCTCACGTACAAGACTATATTAATGTGAAATATATTCATAAGAATTCTGCAAGTTCAGAAAGATTAAATTCTTATGACTCTTCTTGATTCCCCAGTTTCCCTTCTCTCTGCTATTCAGTCTCCAATTCCATAGGTAGGAACCCAGAACTGAGACAAATTAGACTATTACTTAGAAATTCTTTCATATGTAGGTGTCATAAAATCCAGTCAACTAAAACCAAATAAGTAAAGGAAACGATGGATTGAAAAAGTTAGTCATTGGCACATTGGCCATTTAGCAAATTAACTTGAAACAGGTATGTCGAATATTCTGAAAAGAAGTTCAGGGAAAGGAAAGATGGAGGAGGAATGGTGGAGAGGGAATAAGAAGAGAGGAATAAGAGAAGAAAAGGAGGAAAACCCTTGGTCCCAGCCACTCACTGGCTACCCATCAAGTATAAATCCATAAACCCTCAAAATACGGATAATTATTTGTTTCCCTGCCTTAATCACATAAAAATAAGTGGCACGGTATTACTTGCAAAATAACAAATAAGGGGAAAAAACAGGACTATTTGCTTGCTGTGGACATTTTAATTTTGTATCTGAATTTTGAACTGAAACACCTAAAACCTAGAAATGTTCAATGGTTGCTTGGTGATTTAATGTCAAAAGACTTTATCTACAGCCAGTAATCTTCAAGTTCCACCTGAAGTACAAAATGGGAAAGAGATGTCGATCATCTCCAGCTGACAGCCTGTGACCCACTACCTAAGTACTGGCTGTAGTAGACTAAGCTTTTACGTTTTTTTCTTTGGTGATATGAAACAACTCCTTCCAAGGATTATTCAAATACAACCCAAGTTATATGCCCAAGATAATGAGATTTGGTAATATAATACATCAGTATTCCATCACTGAAATTGTAATCTTCTCCCAACCCAAATGCTCCTACTAAAACCAAGGAAGGCCACCGTCAGTTTTAAAGGAGGAATTTACTACTTTGCTCTTGAGAAATAAAAAATGCCACCTATTTTAATGTATAATCAACAAAATCACCCAGAGTCAAATCCTATTTGATAAAATAGGACAGATTATGATAAAAAGAAATTTAATATCACAAATTAAAATGTCTTTGCATTTTTAGTGGAGTACTTTTTTTTTTAACAATTCTAGTTGTCCACTAAAAAGTGTCATCAGAAATAAAATATCCACATAGAACCAGAACATTCAAAAATACCATTACAAGGTAACTGTATTAATCCTCATTATTATCCTCAGTGTATTAAGATGCAAAATAATTGTTGGATTCTCTAAATTATATAAAGCAGTCTAGGTCATATCTTCCACTTTTTTTGTTATTTCCAGGTTTTGAGAAGGAAATATATTTTCAGAAGATCACACACCAATGCTTATTGTTGGCATAGATTCAAATCTCAAGTAAGTACACACATTAAGCAAATGGACTGTATGCCAAAATTCTGTAAGTCAACTGTTTTGAACTGACAATTTAACTCTGGCAACATCATAAATGCAGTGCTGGTGTTTGAATCCACCCCTCAAAATCCTACTTAGCCTGTAACATTACACCAACCTACGCATTAGCCTAGAGTTCTGAGCCCTAGAAACGGGGGTTGAACCATTTCCTCCCGTTTCCATATTACAGAAGAACCTTGGGCAAATTTTGAAATAGGTCAAGGTTCTACAGAAATAGAACCCACAGAACTCAGGGCCCCTCTTAAAATCCCTCCCCCTTAAAACCTTTCCTGCTTTATTCGGACTGGAGCGTTTGTGTTCTGAATCCCCACCGCCTCGCTAGTTCAGTCATTATGCCAATTCGCCTTTCTTCCTCTTTTTATAATTGAAGTTATCTTGCTCCTCCCTCTCTTTGCCTAGAATCCTTCTTTCTCCAGCCCTCCCCCTACCCACCCACCGCCTTTCTCTCCTTTGCTCTGTGAAACTCCCACAGGGAAAGGGCTGGGGTTTACTCGTTTTTCCCGTAACAGCCTGGAGAGGAAGGACAAGAGAAATACAGCAAGTGTTAACTATTTTCTCTATGTGTGCTATTTATATATTGACTATATTTAGTGCCCATTTTTGACTAAGAAAATATCACGTTTAAGTTAATGCTGCCTACTTCACATTTTACAACGTCTCCCTGCTAAGCCTTGCCCCAGCCACTAATTTAGTATCCCACCTAGAACAGATGCTCAGGAAGTTCATATTAAACAGATACCAGCTTCTACTACCAAAAATACATAATTATTACTGGCCAAAAGATAAAACACAGGGCTAGTACCAATTTCCATAAAGCAATGTCTGAGAAGCCATTCCAAAGTTCGGGCTCATCCTCTGACTTTCCTTTTCACAGTTTCACAGAAGTGGTTGAAAGACCCCACGGCATAAACTCCACAGCTTGTGAGGCAAGTTAAGGGAAGCTAACACTGGCGCGTGCGGCTTCAGGTGGGAGAACGCGAGCAGGTGCCCCGGGAGGTTGATCGGATGGTGTGTTCATATTCGGCCACCAGGGGGAGCCAGCCACTTTGGTAACCCGCCGCGACCCGCGCTGCTCCCGTCCGCCGTGTGGCCCCAGTCCCTGAAAGAACCATCTCTATTGACAGATTGAGGACCCTTCAGGGAAAAACTTCCCTAAAAACAAATCGAGGAAAGCCAGAGTTCCTAGACAGGTCTGTGTTCTCTACGCTTTCCATCTAGAACATCGCTGGGTTGTTATAACTCTCAGGAGTTCTAGAGCTCTTTGAGCCAGGGAACCAAATCAATGATAAAAACCAGACTTGTCTTGGGGGGCTCCAGGTGCGCAGGCGCAGCGCACTGCATCAGGCAGGGATTTATTCTGCTCCCTCACCATCGTTAACGGACTTCACTTAGAAAAATTAAATCGATGGCTAACACCGCGGATGACACCTGCACAGAGCGACCAAGGTCTCCAGCAAAAGGGAAACAGAAGGTATATAAAAAAATAAATCAGCAAAGGCTAAGGAGGACCCCTGTCTCCAGACACTGAAATGGGAAGCAGCTCGCTAGTTCCCTGGGGTGACTCCACCCTAGCCTGCAGCTGCGGCAGGTGTCCTGCACCCGCTAATGCCAAGGCCTCAGTGGGTCGCGCTCTCCTCCTCAAGTCTTTCAGTGTGAAAATTCTTTTACTGGGGGTAATCAGCTAAAGGCAAAATGAAATATAAAATTACATAATAATTCAACTTAAATTTAAGAGACCATTCATACTGGTCACTGTCTTAGTAAGATGCCCTCATAGGTTAAAGACAGTATAAGCCAAAGAGAAGTGGTGCTTTTCCATTACCTCAGGGAAGGGTACTGGCTCAGAGGATTTTTCAGTGTTCTACAAAGTGATAGCAGCTGGTAATTTGTGTCGTTATTGTAACAGAATGGGAGAGTTTATGGAAAGCCATGCAACTCAAATCTCAAACAAGGACATAGCTTGAACATAAACTAAACCAAGAAAAAGAGATTACAAATTCATGGAAATTTTTTTACCTAAATGACCAACTCACCCTCATAAAATGTCTCTGTATCAATCAGGTACAGTTTAGGTTCCTGACCACTTTCACAGATCCCGAGAGAAGACATCTTCTTAGAAAACAAAAATCCACCTCCAGGTGCCCAGCATTTCAGTCTCAATGACCGTAAAGCCAAGCAGACATCTCATTTCCATCTGGCACCCCAAAGACTGCAGGAATCATCACTATCCCACCTTTGCTCTAAAAGGCCAGACAAAGCGTACTTGGGGCCCAAGGAGGGTCACAGAAAAGATTCAACACTCTGCACAGAGGCAGCTGACATTGCCCTGATCCTGACTGCTTGTCTTAATTAGTTTTGTCATGTTTTCTGCACTCGGGTCTTTATTACTGAGGATTTCTTATAGACATAAGGTCACTTTTACCTTCTTAATTGATTTCCCCTTGCTTTGAGTGTCAGAGACCATACCACAGCATCAAATACTTTTGATTCTGAAGATAACCCCCCTTTTTTTAAGTTTTGATTGAGACTATGTCTTAAGAAGGATAGAACTCTAAAAGAATAGATAAATAAATAAGAAAACGGCAGTCTAAAAGCTCTCATCAATATGAGAAAGACAGGAAGATAGAAAGAAAGAAGCTAACAGTAACAGCCTAGAATAGTGCTTGGCACATAGCTGGTGCTTGAAAAATTGGTACTGAATGAATTACTTGGGAATCATATAAAGAGGGAATGATTAAAAATAAATAAATATTTGAGGAGTATTCTGTGTTATTTTAGCTTTCTCCAATATGTTTTATGTGCCACTCCTTACGAAATGATAGACAGCAGCGTTGTGAGTTTGCATGGTTCCTTGAAGCTGCTTCCTGGACGATGAACTCTGCACTTGGACGACAAGCCAGCAATTAGAAAGCCCCTTTTACTCACCCTTTGCTGTGGAGACAGTTTCCTACATGCTGTTTTCGAGGAAAGTTTCTAGAATCAGACTGACCGTATTTGCTGTACATACTTACACAACGGCTCAATTTCTGCCTAAGGCTATGAAATTCTTCCACAAAGTCTTTTTGCTTGCAAACTTGCAATTGGAGTTGACCAAAAACGTCTTCCATGAAGAAGGACAGAAGCTGTTCTTGGAATCTGCAGTTTTTCTATAAATAAGATAAAAAATTGAGTAAGGTAAACCATGAACAGCTTTGTAAAATGTCACTGGAACATCCCCCTGATTATTGCTTAATGACCATCAAGAGGAATGAAAATGCAGGCAAAGAAGCATCAAACAAGTAGAAACGAGGAAAAGAAAAAGGCCCTTTGGTTTACCATAAATAGCTTTTTTGTTTTCTTCTTTAATAATCGTATGTTTTTTATGCTGTCTTCCTATAATAAAACAAAAAGATGTAAGTTTTATCCAAAATTATAAATGTCCTTTAGGTCTCCGTGCTAAGCAGCACTTGATACTTACGGGAATCGTTGCTTTTAGCCATGCCGCCTTGAGATAGAGTGTGTCAACCGCTTGGGACAGCGTTCCCCTCGGGGAACAACTTCTGGTGAGGGAAGCTGACTTGTGCTTGGCAATGGCAAGCGACAGAATGACACACAGCAACCCAGACCTCAAAATGCAAGTCACCTGCATTTCCCTCCACCCTGCTCCAGCCAGTGTCACTCAGAGCAGGCACAGAGTTACTTGTGTTGGTTAGATAAGAGGATAACCTACTTACTTTAGCCCTCAAGGCTGCTCCTCCAATGAGATTCTGTGAAAGATAACCTACACTTTATGTAGAGGAAGATCACTTTGGTTGTTCTATTTTTGTTAGAGCTTGCTTCATAATCAAAAATGTTGACCACACTGTCTGTGACGTTCATTAAAAGCTCAAGTTTACTGTTAAGTTTGCCCAAACAGTCAGAACTCCAGCAACATATCACATCAGACCCCATTATTTTAAGTTCTGCCATGCCAATAAAAGAGCCTGACCTCCTGGGGGGCATGTGATTTTTTTTAAATTCTCATATGAAAAAATAAAAATCTCCTTTTCTTATTAGTATCCCAGAAAATTTTAACCAAAGGAAAGAATGAGCAGTCCTAGGAAACCTGCTCAGGACTTCATATGGGTTTTACAGTCATCCTTCACCTGGCTCCTTTTTCCTCAGAAGCCATTGTTCTGCAACCAGCATCAAGAGAATACAAAAAATAAGTTTTCTAACTTTTATCAAGAATTTTTCCAGCTCAGTAATAGTAACTCTCATTAACGTATTCAAGACATGCTTGGAATTGGACCTGGGATAAAGGCCCACAGTTTGGGAGGTTCTCTCTCATCTCTGTCCAAGTTGACCACCTAGATTTTTCTTCTAGCTCTAGACTTCCAGTACAGTGTGAATTCCTTAAGGAAAGAGGCCCTATCTCTTAATCTTTGAATCCTCAGCTCCTGCCATGCTGCCTCTTCTAAAGAATCATATTCAATATTAGTTGAATAAATGCTTTCCTTTCACATCATGAGATGCTACTGAAACTGCCTTTTCTATTTATTCCATCAACAAATTTTTGCCAAGGATCTGACTAGACAAAGGATAGTGCTGGGTACCAGGCAGCTGTGAAGGCAGATGCACCATAGGCTCCTATCCTCAATTCTGTCCCAGTTCTTCCTGTGGTGGTAAGTATGGTTCATTTTGGGTAGCAGCCCCAAGGTAAGAAGGCAACACAGCCCAGAATTGTATACTGAGAGGCAGAGATACGTTGCCAAAGCCTAGAATGAAGAGAGTTCACAGAGCATCCAGGCAAGCCCACACTAGAAATCTGGTTGTGAGTATAAGATTCCTTAAACTAGGCCGAGTCAACAGCAAACATCAGAAGCCAACAGCAGTTTCTCAATCAAGGCGACCAGGGCTGGCAACAGGGCAAGGAGAAAGAATAACAGGAAAGGTCAAGCCCTAGGGAGTGTTTTCTGCTGTTTCCAGAAGTGCAGGGACCCTCTCTGAGGAGCACAAGCCTCCTGGCCGGAAGCACTACTGATGAAGGACACGCCCTCTGACATGAGAGGTTTCACAAAGAGCTGTTGCAGAAGGCAGCTGATCTGAAGTGCAAAGTGAGGTTCCACGAAATTTTATAAAAATTCAGGAAGAGGAAGAAGGATTCTTAGCTGGGAGTAGCTTAAAGAGTGTTTGAACTGCAGCATGAAAAACCCTAAGGATTTTGTTTTGTTCTGGTTTTTTTGAGTAGAGTAATGCCTACTATTCAAAGTTCCTTTAGACAAAAGAGTGTGAACACCAAGAATCAAAAGCCCAAATGCCTCACAGGGCATGGGATTAAAATAAACACCCTCAGTGGGTGGATACAAGACAATTGGGTCTAAATTGCTTATATTGTCACCAAGCCTAAAAGCTACCTAATTATATAGCCTATTAACATACTGTGTGGGTGCAATAAAAGGACCCAGAAAATACTGCCAAGAGCCATGTACTGCCTTGAGCAGCTCATTTAGGGTCCCTGATGTGTACCAATAAAACATTTAAGTGCAATTCAAATGGCTAATATTGATAAAGGAAATCAGTGGTGGGTTCTGACTGTTTTTTAATCTCTGGCAGCTGCATATCCACAAATGTCATATTCCTCAAATCACCATGGGCCAAAGAAGACCATCCATATTCCAGGGATGCCTCTGCTTTGGCTTACAGCCAGCTTACAACACCTGTGGTCATTCCTTGGTGACTGAAAACTCTATCACTCAGTTGATCATAGTCATTCTTCACCTAAGTCAGCAGACCTGCCTCATTAGGGTCCTTTAAACCATCAAATCTGACCTCAAAGGATGAATAGTGATCAATGTACAGGACACAGGTTCTGAGAGGTCCAAAGGGAGCTCCAGAAGTGGCCTAAATAATAGAAAAACCTTTAGAATAAGTACACAAAATATTCTTGAGGCACCAATTTGAAAGACAAGTCTCTGTTCATTTGGATGTGTCTTTATTATATCATTTTCACAAGTTTCTTATATAGAACTATATAAAATTGTTATTAATTAAAACATCTGGTGTTGAAACTCAGAGCCTCTCCTCACTAGTTGCATGGCCTTAGGAAAATTGCTAATCCTCTCTAAGCTTCAGTTTTTGTCACCATTAAAATGGGACAGTAATTATACCTACTTGAGAAAGTTGTCATGAGCAAAAAAATAGAGTAGTATAAATAGAATGCATAGCACAATGACAGCTACAGAGCATTCTGGAAGTGGTGGTAGCCATTGCATTATTTTTCAAGTCACAAATGTGTCTTGGCCTATTTGGGTGCTGTGATAAAATACCAAAGACTGGCTAATTTATAAACAACCAAAATTTATTTCTCAGTTTTGGAAGCTAAAAAGTCCAAGATCAACATGTCAGCATGGTCACATTCTAGTAAAGACTCTCTTCTGGGCTCCAGAAATAATCATAGATAAATATGTTCAATAAAATGATACCTAGGTTTTGTCCCTTCAGAAGTTGGTCACTCTCTCTTGGACAATTCCACACAGGAAACCTGTTTATCTCAGCTCACAGCATCAGAGAGTTGGATGAAAACAGGTTAGAGACAGAATGAAGAGTGTAGTAAATGGTCTGGACAAGAAAGAAAGGGAATATGGAAGCTAGATATGTGGAACAACATGAAGAGGAAAAGGACTTGAAAATTCACCGAGAGCCCCAGCCTGTGCCCCCAGTCATGGGCTGGGTAACCTGGGCTCTGTATGTCTTCATCCTCTATCATTCATTCATTCATTCACCCAACACTTACAGAGTTCTTGTTACCTCCCAGGCTTACTGAGGCTTGGGATATATCAATAATCAACAAAGAGAAAATTACTGACTTCATAAAACATCTTAGTAGTAGAGGAGGAGAGAGAGACAGACAATAAATAAACATAAGGCTTCTATGAAATGTCAAGCAATGGCTAAAATGAGGGAAGAAAATAACTTACAAAGATATCTATTCAGTCAAAAGAAATAATCGAGACAAAGATCTGCAGGAAATTGGAACTCAGAAGCCTGTGCGACTGGACCAGAGTGAGGGAGGAGGGCGAGGGGAAGGTGACATCAGTGAGGACACACCGAGTCAGCTAACACAGAACCTGCTAGGCTGTTACTGGTACTTACGCTTCCACTCCAGGTCATGTGGGAGCTTTGAGCAAAGAGGCGGTATCACCAGACTCAAGCTCTTTAAAAAAAAAAAGCAGAACCCAAATGCCTGTTGATGAATGGCTGGATGAACCAAGTGTGGTGTCCATACAATGGATTGTTACCATCATAAAGAGAAATGGAGTACCGATATATCCTACAACGTGGATAAACCTGGAAAACTGTATGCTACAGAAAAGACACCAGGCACAACAGGTCACAGATTATGTGATTCCATTTACGTGAAATATCCAGAATGGGTGAATACACAGAGACAGAAAACAGGTTGGTGCTTGCCAGGGGCCGGGAGGTGGGGCAATGGGCAGTAACTTCTCAAATGGGTACAGGGTTTCCTTTGAAGGGCATGGAAATGTGTTGGAACTACACAGAGGGAGTGGTCATGAATGCACATTTTGTAGTCCATTAGTAGTACATGATGAATGTACTAAATGCCAATGAATTGTTCACTTTAAAATGCTTAATTTTATGTTGTGTGAATTTCACCTCAATAAAAGAAAAGAAGGAAGAGGAGAGAAAGAGAAGAGAGACAGACAGAAAGAGACACACAGATGGACAGACAGATGGACAGACAGAGAAAAGCAAGGAAAGCCAATGCAGTGGGAGAGAAAGAAGCCACTTCTGAGCCATCGCCACACCAAACATTACCCGTGGTCCCAGCACTTACCTTCTTGTACAATCCAGAAGAGAATGTTTTTTAACTGTGGTGCAAATGTGAACATTTCAGTAGCTCTGGAAAAACATTTTTAAGAAGACAAGACTCCTACCTCATCCAATTTTTGAAACGTATTTACAGCCATTTAATGCTTTTTTAAGAGGCAAAATCATGACCTGGTTACTTGTTTTTCTACTGAACCAGAAATTAGTGGGATTAAGAGAAGCCTTGTGTCACAACTTAATATACCATAGACTGGTTGGGAGGAGAAAATTTCTATACCCTAATGGGGCATATCTAAATGTTTCCCATTGTATTTGAGAATATACTTAGTTTAGAGCATCTGGCATTGCTTCATTTGACAGAGGAAGAATCTGAGGCCCAGAGACATTTAGTCACATGCCCAGGGACACTCAGCCCCATCAGACAGAGGTCTCCACCAATGTTCATGAGCCCCCAAAGCCCATGTGTTTCCCACTCCCTGTGCAGCCTTCTGCCACACTGGACAGTAGGACAGAAGGAGGGTTTGAGGCTGTGGTGGGCACCACAGAAAATAAGCGATGGGACAGTCACTCAAGGAAAAAGGAATAAGAAGGAATAAAACTAAGGAATATAAGACAAATACTGTTGATATGTTATAGCCCCTGATGTATATCATAAAAGTGCCTAATTTTATACAATACTTCACAAAAATATTCCTTTACTTGGTCTTCCCAACACTTCTGGAGCTAAAGAGGGTCTGGTGTTTTCCAGTTTACAGGTGAGATCGCTCAGATGGAAAGACCTGCCTGAAGGCACAATGCTAGGAAGTAACCAGGCCT